AACACCTGCACTCTCTTGAACGGGTTGGTCAGCTCTCCAGTTTTGTGATGCCATCTCTTGGCTTTAGCCATGACCATCGATCCGAAGTTGACCATTGGCTTCGATCCCACTCCCAGCCTCTGAAGTTGTATGCGAAGTCGTTGAGTAGCAGCATGCCTCAGTGCGCATGGCCAGAGCGACGCCTCCACCTTGCTGGTGTGAAGAAGGAGCCTCATCCTTCGCTTGAGCTGCAGGAGCTCTGCTTCCACCCTGCCATTCGACTGGCTATCATCACCCGAGGTCATCGTGTGAACCATCTCCCTGGCCTGCACCCACTTGGCCACTGCCTTCGTGAGGAAGGACTTCTCCCGGTCCGAGTGCAGCCGACATGGCCGCACTCCCAGCATCCTGTAGTGAGCATGGACCTTGGAGAGCGCCTGCACGATGTCCTCCACCGCTCGAGATTGCATCGGCTCTGCAATCGTGAGGTTCTGAAGTGGAACCTCTTCCTGAGCTCGCTCCAGCGCAGCTTTCATGTTCATCTCAGCCACCTGTTCCTCTGTCGCCAATTCCACTTCCTCTTTCTCTTCTTCAATCTCCACCACATCCTTGACCTCCGACTCATGGTCCAGTGGTTCCTCTGGTGCCCCAGCTAGATCCTTCACTATCGGCACCGGGATCGTCGCCACCATCACATACCTGCACCACTGGTTCAATCCAAGGTCTCTCCCCTGCTCAAACGGACCCATGATGTCCACCGCCATCACGAAGGCAGACGAGGCGTTTCTGGAGCGTCGATGTGGGCTGGAGAATCCCATTGCTTCCACACAATCCCGACAATCTCTCCTGTAGGGAACGTGTTCTTGCTTGATGTGCCTCTTCCATTCCTCCACATCCATCTTGGCCAATCCGATGTGAGCTCTCCCCCCAAACCGAAGATTCAAGGCCAGTCCAATCGCCTTCACCAGCCCACTGGACCACCGCGCCCACGACCGAGATGCTTTCATTCTCTCCTGTAGCCCTCCCTCCACTGGGTCCGCCGATCCTCCTCCCCTGAGTCCATGCAGATCTTCCAGGTGACGAAGGTTGGTCAGCAAACTAGTGGGTTTTCGCCGGGAGTGCCCCGTTCGTCCTTGGTCGAAGCTCACCAAGCTCATTCCATACTCGTCCACCATTCTCCTCAACAATGGCCATTCAAAGAAAGATGGGTGATCATGCCCGGCATCGACTCCATCTCCCACATAGCTGGCAGGGTCCTGCGGAGATTCCAGAAGAAATGCCACCGGATCAGGTCCTTCCCGATGCTCCTCCGCTAGGTGCCATAGCCCCACCTGCTTCACCACCAGTGCGGAATCCCCTCGCACCTGTTCACGTTCCCGGGCCGTTAGCCCCTCCAGGCCCCAGCGATCATCGCCACGACCTCTCACTCTCCTCGGTCCTGGCGGCCCCTTGCACCTCAATCTGCTCGTGGTACGACAAGGCGGACCCCCAACCACTCCTTTCACCTTCCCGGATCTGGCCAGCGAGCACACGTAGCTCCACACATTCGCATTGTGCACATTGAAGCCAGCTCCCAACTCCAAATCCAGGAAAATCCAATCCATGTCATCGGGCAGTGTGCCTTTCCACCTCCCTGTATCCGCTCCAGAGAAAAGGTGAATCACCAGGCCACGACTTCGCTGATGTCGACGCCTCTGACGTCTATTCCAAGGCAGCAACTCTGGGCTCGGTTCACTCGAAAACCCAACCATCATTTCCAGCACGTCCTCCGGCACGTCCGGCATGATGCTACGCCACCAATTCCAGTCCACTTGGGACAATCTCTTCCGATTCTTCTGGTTCTCTTCAAACTCTGCCAACATCACCATGGCGTCCTTTCTATTCATGACAGGGCACCCCGATCTCAGCCAACACTTCACAGCTCCAAGCTGCTGGTGCATGATCGTGCACCCCTGCCCATTCCAGTGAATGGCATACCCATTCTCCACTAGCAGACTCAGCGGCAAGATCGGCTCCACTGGCTCCAAGGACAAGAGGGTGTCAAAGTCCGGGTGCTTGTACAAAGTTGTACATCCATGGGCAAGCTCCACCGTCACAGGCTGCAACCTCCCTCGCTCCTCCTGTCTTGCCATTCTCAATGGGTGAGTAGCTCCACCATCCAATAAGGCTAGCTCCAAACCCTCATTGGTATCTGCCACATGAATCTGCTTCAATCTGAAAGTCTTCATGCTGCGGAGGGACTTCAAGAGGGATGTGGCCTCAGTGATCAGCTCCGACGTTGGATCACCCTTCTTTTCCAATTCAACTCCACCATCCCGTCCTTTTTCTCCTCCACCTGCCACCGGCCGTGTAGCCGCGGACAAAGAGCTCGTCAATGGAGTAGTTCCTGACTTTTCATTCGGGCCAGTCTCCTCCTTCTCCGACGTCCCTCTCCCACTTCCCTTCAGCTTGGCCGTCTTTTTCCCATCCTTCTCCGGTCGCTCCCGACCATACGGACAGTCCTTCGCAAAGTGGTTCTCCCCTGAGCAGTGAAAACACCTGCCCGTCTTGTTGATGCCCTCCCAGGCATGGGCGAAAGTACAGGTCTCTCCCCGCTTGCACCCACCAGTAGTACCCCAGTAACGGCATGGATGTTTCGTCTTTGGTGGTCCATCTCCGCCTCCGCCTCCTCCACCCAAGGCCTTAATCGTTGGCTGAGCTCCTGCTACCGGTTGAAGGACTGCTCCTGCACCGGTATTCTTGGCCGACGAGGGATGCGGCATAGTCAACGCCAAATCCTCCGCCTCAGCCTGGAGAAACTCTGCGAACTCCTTGGTAGTGGTTAGCGTGGGCCTCCGATCGACCTCAAGTTCCTGCCGAGCTGCTGCAATCCTGAATCCCACTTGGCTTCCTCCATGCTTCGTGAGGTTCTCTGCAACCTTGGACAAGGCCTGAATCAAGACCATCGAGTCCGGGATCGCCACATGCAACTCTTCAGCTCGACAAATCCACCTGCGCCAGGTTCGGATAGCGCCCAGTGTATCCTGAATAGAACTGCCGCACTTCACCTCCGTCAGGCTGCGCAACAGATTTCCCCTTTCTGCATTTCCACCAGGTTGGTAGATGGTGAAGAGCTTGTACAAAATCGCCTGAGTCGCCACTCTTCGACTTGCAACAATGTCCTTTCTCACCGGTTCCGGGAGCGCGGCTAGCAGAGTCGAGCTCGCCCGCTGATCCAATCGTTGGAACCGTGGGGACACCTGCTCCTCCACCTTGATTCTCAACCGCCCCAATGGCGTCGCCAAAAGCCACTCATTGTACTTCACCTCCACTTCTCGCTGCACCCAATCCCAAAACTCGCGAGACGACGTACTGAGGTCTCCCATCAACGGGGAAATCACCGTCAGCCAGTCCCCAAAGAGCAGGGCCGCATTCTCAGTCGAAGGTGATGGCAACTGTGGCAATTCCAAGTTCCGCATTGCCTCAGGCAGTGCAGCTGTCACTGATTCCAGCGGCTTCATCACGCTCGCCGCCCCAATCACTCCACTTCCATTACCTCGAGGATCGTGTACCGGAGCAAGACCAGGAGGAGTGTCAGGTGGTCCACCAATCTTGGTAGGTTCCCCCACTGTCTCCTGCTGCCCCTCTGCCTTCGCACTCGGCACAGAAGTAAATGATGCCGAATCTCCAGCGTCCGTCATCTTCTTCACCTCCCGAGCAAAGGTTTCCTCAGCCTCCCTCAAGATGCGTTCCCGAAGACGTTCAACATGTCCCAGACCTGGACTCTGTGCAGGATGTTGGCCTCTGGCCCCTTCAGACTCCCGAACATGTGACTCACCCTTGGCCGCTTGCTGCACTGACGTGCTCCAGAAGGGATTCACCGTCCCCAATGGTCCCACCGGGGTGGTAGGATAAGGCTCCAGCACCCGAGGATGTAGGTCATCACGTCCCGCTCCAGTCATGTAAGGTGAAGCTCCCATGCGCTCCGTTTCCACCCCGCTCTGCCGCAAAGGAGTGCCCGCCGCCAGCCCGTGCCCTGGAAGAACTCCACATCCGGTACCGGCATGACCTCCCTGATCACCGGGCCGAAGAAGAGGATCAAGTAGGGTCGGCTGGGAACTGGGCCTTTGAAGAGCATGCTGCAACACTTCAAATGACTGCCGAACTGCCTCCTGCAAATGCCCAAGCCCCAATACCTGGCCTCTTGGGTCATTCAGCAACTGTCGAATTTCCGGTGTTCCCTGGTGGCCACTCGATGCCGTCACAGCTGAATGACCTCCATGGCCACCGCCCGCGCCAGCAGCCACGCCCAGCCGCTTCACTTCTGCTGCCACCGGCACTGATTGCGCCCTTGCCGCCTTCGCCTTCATCTCCTCCTCGATCAAGGCATCCAGCCGGCGGTCCGCAGCTCCGACTTCCAGCGGCGCCGCGGCCTCTTTCCTTTCCCGCGACCGCTGTTGCCGTCGCCTCCGCTGCTCCATGGGGACCAGCGACCCCTCTGTTCACCCAACAGCAGGGGGTGGACTTGGAAAATCCAAACAAAAAAGATCACCTTGGGCTCATAACCTGTGGTTATGAAACGGGATGCCCAGCGCGTCGGGCCTTTTCAAACTTGAGCCAAAGTAAGACGAAAACACTCGTAGCGCTTGGCTTTCTACGAGGTGTGGTTGTACACTTTTTGATTTGTGCACTTCATGAATCACAGATTGGAATCCGACTTTGGAGGTTCCAAGATATCATCATCAAGTCATGACTGACAAATTGATACACATTATCGGTCAAATCATCTGCGACCATTTCATGGGTATTGCTGGCACTTTTTTATCACTCTTCTACCTCCAGACTTGTACGCAAGGGCCCATGTGCCAACATATGCCCATAGGTGCTTGGGGTTATCCTTAAATTACCAAGACCTGCAGAGCAAACTCTTTGAGACATAGCACTTGATAGAGAATGACATCAAGACAAAACTTGGAGAGCCTACCGATTAGTAGCTCTTCACCCTTTTTCCCTGCCCATCTTTCCTCACCCCAGCGGCCGAGGGGGCAGACGCCCGCGTCGCCGATGGGAGCGCAGCTCCGGTGGCACTGGCGGCGTTCACGTGCTTCAGCGTGCTGGTGCCGGGGCTGAAGTGGATGCGGTGCGAAAGTTCTACACGGCCAAATGCCTTTCGCAGTCCAATCACTGGTTGGTCGAAGAATTGGTGAAATTGCCAAACACTTGTGATGTGGGCTTGGCTCCCGCATCAAAGAACTCTCCCAACACCGCTCTTTCCATACTGTGCATTGCAGCTTTTCAGAGTGGTTTCCACCCTAAGCCTAACACCTCCTTCCTTGGGAAAAGCCACCTGAACTCCGTCCCACCAGATGTACCAATCCTCCCCCCTACACCTGTACTCCTTCACCGCCGTCCACCGCGGTTTCCACCGGCAGGAGAAGCTGGGCACGGCCCTGAGCGATGTGGCGGTGAAGCGCGAGTGGGCGCCGCGGCTCTTCCAGGGCGATCGCCTCAAGCGCCGCTCGGGTGGAGACGGCCGTGCGACGGAGACGAGGGTTGGTGGGAAGGTGGTGGGCCGGAAAGTGGAGAGGTGGCTGGGGGCAAAAAGGGTGTGTGGTGGGTGTGGTTATAGTAAGGGGTGGTGTGAAGAATGCTCAACTTGAACATGGAGGGAGTTGGGACGAGCTTCGAGTTGTTGTTTTTGGGGGTGCTTGTCCAATGGCTTTGCTTGTTGCTTGTAGTCATGAGTGGCCACTGAATTCACGCCAGAAACTCCAAGCCACGTGCTTTTGGTATATCGATGGATACCATCTCTCAACTGGTGTGATCGAGCGAAAGCGTTCGCTTTCACTCGCGTTCGCTCAGTGTCGATCTGCTCCCAAAGCTTCCAACCACCTCCTCCGTGGTGGTACTCCGGACCGCCGGCCGACCGGCCGACGGCCGGCCGACGCGAGGCACCAACTCGATGATGTCGCAGATCGACCTTTGGAGCGAAACGTTGGGGCCCTTCCTCGCGGGGCACCTCGGGCCGAGGAAGCGAGTAACGACAGAGGTCGCATCCGAACGTCGTCGCCACGAGAAGATCTATCTGCAAGACACCAAGTAGATCCAGCAGAGCACACTTAGCAACCACAGCCCCTCCGGGCCGAGCACGGGTGGTTTGGAAAAAACGCCCTGGAAAAAAGAGACCAAACTGGGTGTGGTCAACGGTGGGAGGTCAGGTCGGCGGAAACCGTTTGGGGTCAATACTGTGGAGGATGATCATTCTACGTTTTTGCTACTGAGGCCACTGTGACAGGGGAGTTGTACCAAAGATCCTCAAAAGAAAGTGGATGACTAGCCCCTTTTAACCTGCTACAAGAGCATCTCTAGACCACGGCGCCCTTTGTTTTATTCTCCAATTCATGGAGAGCTTCTCAATCAACAGGAGTCCCTTCGGCGAGATGACACATTTTCTTCAATATGTCAAAAAGGGAACCTTCCAGTGTTCCCCGCAGTGCAACTATTCTGCATCATAGTTATCTCCTAAAGTTTCTGGACATATAAATAGTCTTGGAAACCACGTGTGAGTAGGACATGTCATCGAATTCCCAGGACAGTAATTGCCGTGTTGTTTTTGGGGTGCTTGCTGTTTTTCGAAGAGTTGACCGCCTGCTGAGGCTACTGATCACAGGGCTTGACGATGTCTTTGGCTTCGTGGCTGTAGGGCCACATGGCTGTGCCAAGCAAATAGAATTGCAGTTTGAGGTAAAAACGCCTGGCCGCAGGGCTGTGCGTAGATACCAAGAGTGTCCGATTGGCTCAGGGAAAACTGAGACGTTGACCCAGAGCCCTGTGGATAAGCCATGTTTTGCCCTTTCTTGCCGCTGGGTGGGGTGCCAGGCTTTTGAACGTCCTCTCCTTCCCGCCACAGCTGCTGCTGCTGCGGCGCATCTACGCGGCACGCGCAGCCAAGTTGCAGCCGCTGCGGCCGGAGGAGGCGGGTGCGGGCCCTTCTTCAGCAGTTGCGCCATCCGTTTCGCCGGAAGGGAAGGAACTGTGAGGAACATCGGGGAACTGTGGCCTCTCCGTTTGGAAAGAAGCTCCTAGACCTTCGAAGGACACCTTACAGTAGCTCCGCACCCTCCATGTTAATTACATAGTGTGACATGGAGGGTGCTGTACCTCCGCTTGGAAACAGGGGAGCTGCTGTCCATGCTGACACTGTAGATCCCAAATTTGTCGGATTGGTTGGAACATTTGTGCATCAGCAGCACTCAACATGAAAGGAGCCTCCCTGTAGCTGTTTTTTGAAGAAGCAGCGGTTGCACCATGCAACTGATAGACTCTGATAGACTCTTACATCCCGATGAACACAGATGAACACGACTCATAGGAACTCTGGAGAAGAACTGCTATGACTCATGTTCAATCATAACAATCTGTTGAATCTGGAGGTAGTTCGACGAGAGTATTGCTGATGTTCTTTTCCACATCTAGGTTGGAGGCCAAAAAGTACGTCATAATTCATCAACTCAACATGTTTTGTTCATTGTTTTGGTCTTATGTCCTTGGTTTCCTTCGAAGTCTTCCGGAACAGACCTTCGCCGACCGCGCCAGGTGCACCGCAAGGCGAACCCCTTGACGCCCAAGGCGTGGTGGGTGAGGCTTCGGCCGTTGGAACCCAACAGAAGCAAAAAGGAACGTGTTTTTTCATCAAACAGTGTGGTAACATTGAGGACTAGGGATTCTTATGGTTACGTATAGTTAAGGAGGGGTGTCTGATCGAGGTGCGTGCATTTCGACTTCGCAGGCTCGCAGAATCTGGTGGGCTGGCGTGGGTGCTCTTCGAGACTGCGCACGACTACTACGACGACTACTATCACTACTACTGCTATTGCTACAACTACTACGAGCACTTGGACGAATACAACTACTCCTAGCAGTACTCAATCTCGACCGGATATGACGAGTAACACGACCACTACGACTCACATCAGAAAACCAGGGGAAAGCCGAAGACAGGGTCAGAAAACATGAGAAGGGGGCTTGCCCAACTCATTGGTGTACAGTGTGGGTCATAAATTGAATTGTCCGACACTGATATTTCCCCAAACACTGTGGCACACTGAGGGGTTCTTACGGTAGTGGAAAAGCAGGTGTGCTTAGATCGCTGTTCCGCGCGGCCGTGTCCGGCTAATTCGCTGTTGCAAGGGATCGGAGGTGTTTAACTTCGGAATGCAGTTTTCGTGGCAGGCGCAGCACTTTGGGCATGGTGGTGATCGTCGAAGAGCTCAGATTTCGTGACAGGTGCAGTGAATCGTGACTTTTGGACATGCGGCTCGTTTGCAGATTTCGTGGCAGGCACAGCACTCTGTGACCCTCGATGTGCAGATTTCGTGGCAGGTGCAGCACTTGAACCTCGAAGTGCACAGTCACACTCACTCTTCACTCGCACTCGCATTCACATCACTCTCACTCACATTCACATTCAATGCACACTCACACTCACACTCACTCTCACTCGCACTCACACTCACTCACTCTCACTCACACTCACTCTCATCCACACTCACTCTCACTCACACTCACTCGCACTCTCACTCGCGCTCACTCTCACCCACACTCACTCTCACTCACACCCACACTCACTCTCACTCACGTTCACTCTCATTCACACTCGCGCTCACCCACACTCACTCACCCACCATCACTCTCACTCACAGTCACTCTCACTCACACTCACACCCACACTCACTCTCACTCTCACTCTCACACTCACACTCACTCACTCTCCCACACTCACTCTCACTCTCACTCTCACACTCACACTCACTCCCTCTCCCACTCTCACTCTCACTCCGCCTCTCACTCTCACTCTCACCCACGCTCACTCTCACACTCACTCACTCACTCACTCACTCACTCACTCACTCAGTCACTCACTCACTCAGTCACTCACTCACTCACTCACTCACTCACTCACTCACTCACTCACTCACACCACCACCACCAACAACATCTCCACCACCATCATAATCACCACTATCACCCCCACCACCATCGTCAACAACACCATTAATCATCACCTCGCTCCGGAACCCAACACGTCTTGATCTCTAGACCTTCTGTGTCTACACCTCTAGGACTTAGACCTTCAGATACACAGTATGATACACTGTTTGGGGTCTCTTGCCGGGATGGTGGATATTCTGGTGACGAAACAGTTTTGGTAGTGTAATGTCTAGTGACCTGGATACAGTAGGGGATGGACTGACTTTTGTGCTTCTGATAGCCTCTTTTTGAGAAGGGAATCACCCCAAAGAGCTAGAGTGAGGGTCACCCAGTTCTTCTTTCTTGGACCTGCTGGATGAACCAGTCACCAATGGTTGCCGCGGAAGTCTGCCCATGGGAAAATTTTCAGGCGACTCAATCTTTTGCAGCAAGGCACTTGATTGGTTTGTAGATTTAAGCACTGGTACATGAATCAAGCTATCCTCAAGCTCTTGCTTGGTTGCATGAAATTCAGGACGGTGTTTTTCGTCAGTTGCAAGAGCGCCTGATGTCGTCCTCACCTGAAGCGACTAAAATGGTATTCGGTGTAGCTGGAAAGGGGCTGAGGATCACTGGTAAAGTGGGAGACTTTGCAAAGGCAAGATACGAAGTTGCATTCGGTGTATATAGTGCAACCACGTGCAACCATTGTTGTTGGTGGTTTTCCATGACAAGGTGGTGGAAGGGTAGAGTAGTCGCTACGTGTTTCAAGAACCCTCTACGGTTCCAACACGTTCCAACCGTGAAGGAAGAAACCCTGCACTAGTTTGCACTAAGAACACAAGTGTTTTCCACGCAGGAGTTCTTCCATCAAGAACAGCGAAAAAAATCTAGAAGGTTCACTCAAACAAACGGTAATATGAGGACCAGACGAATCACACCTAGAGAATGCTGAAGAATATCCAACCATCCTGGGCCCTTTTTCTGGTCGTGTCGTCTCTTCCTCCTTCTTCGGACGCCCGAAAGACCTTCTTCGGGCGTGGGGTCTCCGAAAAGACCGCCGCAGACGGGTGCGTGGAGTGCGTGGCTCCATCATCCCAGTGGCATTCAGCCGCTGGGCGGGACGGGTTGGGTGATGGGATGATGATGGGTGGGTGGCGAGAGCGTTGTTTTTTGGGGTAGAGGGGCGGTTGTTGTGGTTCTTCGGGTTTAGGAGGTTGGGTTTTTGCAGGATTTGCTGGAAAATTCGGTTGTTTGAGGGTGTTTTGTGGCATCCCAGACAAAGCTTTTCAGTGGCCAGAATAACACCACTGCTTGGACATCGACAAAAAGTCACTGAGAACACTGTGTGACTGGCCGTCCAAGCTTTTAAAGGCGACATGTACTTAACCACAACTTCAAGTACTTAACCATGGCATATGGTATGTTAACCACTTTCAAGTGTTTGGTGCACCGGTGTTATGGCTCTCGACTTCTTTTGCCCAAACGACCTATATACTAAACGTCACCCGGCGTGACCTCACGCCAAACACTAGTTTGATCAGATCCTGTTTCTTTTTTGCCAGAATACACTATGGAATTTCGCAACCCCACCGTGAAAATAACAAAAAAATATTAT